TATTTATGTTGTGGCAGATATTTAAGTAAGCTTTCTTAACCTGTTAAGCACCGAGCCTGTTTTTCATGTTTCAGGCTCGAAAATGACATTCCCAAAACAAATGACTACAACTTAACTTCTAAAAGGGTTATATGAATAATTTATTTTATCAAAGCAAGGTTACATCTGTGAGTTGGATGTAGAAGTGTCAGAATCAATATAAATGTTTTTTATTTAAAAAAAAATTCAGATTTTACATAGTAAAAAACTGTAAATTATAGTGTCCGTCCAAAAATTATTTTTTACAGATAGTGAAAACTACCCTTGGATAATGGGTTAGTAAACTAAAAGCTTTAGGAATCCAAAGTACAACATATAATAAGTACCCTGTATCAAGATTGATGCAAAACAAGTTAAATTTGACCTTTTTAGAGAGATTTAGCCAAAAACCCCCACTTTTGGGGTCATTTGGGTGGATTTGACCTATCTCTGGCCCCCCTTACTCGATTGGGATCGTTGACACACCTTTCTGACCGTTAGAGCCAATAGAATCGAAGGGGGAGGCCCACTCACACACTCATTGTAAAGAGAAAAGGTGGGGGCTACGCGTCTAGAAATGAAACTATTTTTGCAGATTTTGTCCTTCTGGAGTTTGGAAATTAAAAAGCCGTTTTATTGCTTATGGATTATCAGAAATAATTTCAAAGAAGGCACAGATACATAGGATGAACCTATGGATTAACTGCAGTATCGTTTTTTTATCGTTTGAATGCCATTGAAGACCAGTTTTGACCAAGGTAAGCCATATTAGCTTTCTAGCTACCTAGCTCCACATGTTATGATGTACGCTTTCGTTTATCGCGTCGCGAATGTTTATCACTGAGTGTTGAGGAGGGCACCCACAGATTCAGTGTCTCCAGGACACTGAAAACGAGTGGTTGGCTTTGCATCTAGGATAAGTAATAAGGGAGTTATGAGTGAGTTTAAGTGCCGTTTCAGGTTAATTATTTTCGCTGGTGGCTAATTCAGAGGCTGAGTGCTAGCATTGTGGGGTTTTTTTGGAGAAAAAAAATTAAAAAGATCAGTTAGCTGAGTTTCTTCCCGTTACATGGATATAAAACATTCATAGTTTATTAAATATTAACATTCCTTAGACGTTGTTTCCTGCAAATAACGTGTTTTTCCGCCCGGTACCGGGCGGGCCGTGCGTAACAGGTGACGCTAATGTTATAATTGTCAGATTGCTCTGAAGATGGGAGGGGATATTCTATGAATTTTCACGTTCACACAGTCAGTTGATTTTTGCCGGCCGTCTTTCCTGCAATGGCAGTTTTTCTGTATTTCCTTTATCCTGTAATATGACTTGATAGCTTTAAACTCCGCACACTGAGCTCTGATTGGTCAGCAGGCGGTGCTTTCACTGAGTTGATCTCTTATCTGCTCCGGAGCAGGTTTGCCGTTCAGCATAAGTTACCATGGAGATCTAGCCCGGTAAGAAGAGAACCGGCGTCGTAGGACCGGAAACCCAGAGTTTTCCCTGAAGTTAGCTCTCTAAGCGAAAATCCGGCTTCGTAGTACAGGCCTCAGGCCTCTGGAAGAGCGCTATATAAATAACATGTATTATTATTATTATTATTATTATTATTATTAGTATTAGTATTATTATTATTATTATTATTATGACCAGAATGTTTGTTTTTCTTCATTTCTTTTTCATAAAACTGAAAACAACCCCTGTGTGCTATTTTGTTTTGTTTTTAGTTTGCATTTTCTCTCTATTTATTGTTATTATCACCAATTGTCTGTTATTTATTTTGCTATTTCAGGGTCACTCAATAGAATGATATGTCAATCGATCATGTGTCTCCAAATACAATAAAAACATTAAATAAATGATGCTTATTAATATATTAATTTCACTGAAAATAGTACACATACACTTTTATTTATATAACCTTCTGATGTATCTATGTTTAATATTTTTTTAATAATATAAAGTTTGAAAAATGTCATTAATATAAATAAAGAAAAGTATAAAATGCAATGGTTCAGACTGTCCGCGAGAGGGGGCTGTTTAACCAGGAGAAATCAGATTCGTTACCTTGGCAACCGAATGAGGCGTTTTATGTTAACTAGACCCTCCAGAAAAACGCGATTATGCGATCGCATAATTTACCGCATAATCAGCAAAATGGCGCAGATTTTTAAAAGGGCGCATATTTATTAAAAGTTCGCATAATCCCCGCATTTTTCCACACAAAGTTGAGGGAAAAAAAAGTTAACGTGAAGTAGTGATGTCATCAGCTCGCGCAGGTAAACAACACCGTAGAGTGAATGTGTGGAACTCACACGAGAGAGAAAACAACAAGATCAGCGCCATATAGATTATTATATACTATTATACTATTATTATTATATACTATTATACTATTATACGGCTCTGACCAAGATGAAAAAATCGAATCCATCTCATTTGCCTACGAACATTTCTGCTAAAGACCGGGCAAAGCAGTACCCCGATGTCTTGAACGAAAGTGGGGGGAAACTATTCTGCACCCCGTGCAACTGTGTTGGAGCATAAGAGAAAATCGACGGTGACGACCCACTTTGATTCATTCAAACATTCTAAAATGCTTTCTGCTGCTGCGGACAAGAAAGTCAAACAACTCGCATTCACCGAGGCATCAACCTCCAAAACCCTTTCGAGGGCTACAAAAACGAGGTGAGTAGCCTACAAGATTGAAGCTGGTCAGATAACGAACGAGTAAATGAAAACAGAATGAGGCGGAGAAGAGTGTGTGTGTGTGTGTGTGTGAGAGAGAGTGATTAAAATAGCCCATATATAAATACATAAATAACACTTTGTGATGTAGCTTGCTTCTAGTATGCTTGTTTATCATAGGAACTCTTTAAAAGGGCTCACTTTCATTCAGTAGTAGCCTAGTAACAGGGTGTGGGAGAAGAATCACCTTTTTTCCGCCTCCCGCATATTTCGCAACTTTTCGCATATTTAGCATATTTCCGCATATTTCGCAACTTCACCGCATAAAATCACATAAAAACCCCGCATGTTTAATCGCATAATCAAGGATTTTAGCCCGCATAATCAAGGATTTTAGCCCGCATAATCAAGGATTTTAGCCCGCGTTTTTCTGGAGGGTCTAGTTAACGTACACTTTAAGTACCAACAGTAAAAGTACTCGTAATGCCTTAAATTATTACTTTTGTTTTACTACTGGCTAACTTAACCTATAATAACTTACTTTTTAGTACAGTAATTGAGTAGGCCTACACGTAGGCTACTTAATTACAATGAAATTGAGTATGTTTCTTATTGGAAATACAAAAAATATACCGTTCATTTAGTTTAACTGCGCTTAATACCCATCACGATTAGTAACAAAGAAACTGAAATTAAATACCAAGAAAACCAACGATAAGACATACAACAAGCAACCGAAGTCAGCTAAACAACGAGTTAAAATGAGCATAAAACAAGACGCCGCTAAAGTGTGTAAGCCAGTTTTAAAACGTTGAAAGAGCAATTTTATAATTCAGTTAAAACTCTTTCTAAAGTTGCACTGAGCTCTCCGGCCTGAGTTGAACTCACCCAAGGCGACGGAGAGCAGGCTGGAGAGCAAGAAGACATGATGCCGGACGTAGTGGCCGAAAGCGTTCCCTTTGACGCTGCTGCTGCTGCTGCTGTCGTTCACTGCCTGCTCCGGGGCTTCCTCCATCTTCACTCACTTTATAGAAAGATAAACTATCAAGAAAGCTGAACTGTTATGAGATACTTTTTTTGTCAATATTCACCAACGTTCGGCCGTTATGCTTCAAAACCACGTTTGAATGGAGTAACCATGGCAATATAATGCGTTCTAAATTCAACATTATCAACTGTTTTGGTTAAGATTATTTATTTCTCCCTCATTGCACTTTCCTGTTTAAATATGCGTCTATATTTGTAGTTGTTATCAACTCCCTTCCGTCATTTGTTATTGAAACAAAATGAAAACCTAATTTTGCTAAAGATAAATAAATATGAATCATTCCAGGCTAAGAATTCAGGCAAATACACAGCACAATTCAGGAGCTGACATCAACAAAGTGTATCATGAAATTACCTATTTAAAATATGTATTAGTAGAGAGCTGATAACAAAAAAGCAAATAATTATACATTTTTTTATAATAAAAAAAAAACAATGCGAATAGAGACAAATATGTTTTTTTATATTATTTATTCAACATTTCTATATTATGTTACTTTTCTGGTAGCTTTAGTTATTTTTCAGATTACATCTTTTTCATACCCTTCCTTTCCAGTTCAAATCAGTTAACAAGTTACCAGGAGCCTGGGGAGCAGTGGGGGCCAAGTGCCTTGCTCAATGGCCCCTGGCAGTGCCCAGGAGGGAACTGAAACCTCACGAAGTACCAAGTTAAAAATCAAATCTCTACAATAATGCATTGCTGTAAGTTAAACAAAATGATATAAAGCCTTAACTATTTATGTTCAATGAATGGGGAAAAACACGAGACAGAACACACACCTCCACTCTCCGTCTTTATTCATATATATCAGCATATAGTCCACTGTACAGCGAGGGCTGCAGCCCCTCAGCACGGACTGCAGGTCTAACACGATTCTGCCCACCAACACGCTTTAAACTGCTTTATACCCAGAGAAACAAAGTTTCATTAACATACCAAACACAATGCTTTCAGTTACGTACATGGAAGAGGTGCGACAATTCACAAAAGAGCATGATTCCAGTATGTTGAAGAATCTCCAAATCAAATATAAATACAAGTTCCACATTATTATTATTATTTCCTTATACTAACCACTGAGATGTTTCCTCATTTAGATGATTGTTTGATTCAGCTGCTATCATACTTACATAACTGTATTTGTGAACAAGAGAGAAACAGAAGTGTTGATATATTATACAGACATAACACCACTGTTATTGCAAATGGTGTGTTGTTTTTTTTAGGCTTTACAATTCTCTTTTAACACTGCAATAAGGGGACCAAGCAAATGTACACAAGGATTTGTTTTGTTTTCTTCTTTTTTTTTTTAATGCTTCTATTGTTGCAGACTGCATGGTGAATATTTAGTGATGTGTTTGTGTGTCTTGTCGTGCCATCAGTCCATATACATCGGTGAGCTGGGAGACGTCGGCATCTGATCCATGAGCCGGCACACGTAACTCGCCACGTCCACCGAGCGCTCCTCGTACATCTGGATGAACGGATCTTTCTGCAGTGGACAGGGAAACAAGAGGAGATATAGATAAATACCACCTCCTACAAAACATAAAATAAAAATAACGACCACCAGGGTTCGTATTTATTCAGACTCAGTACATTTCAAGCACTTTCAAGGTTACTAATCTAAAAATGTACAGATTCTTAAAGACTTTAATTGAATGAATTTGTTTATTATAAATAATAATAATTTAAATAGTTTAAAAACATGTTTGAATTGTTATGTTTATTTCAACTTAATGTATTAATTTACCTATTAATTCGAAAGTCAAATATAAATTGTTAATATAAATATAATACATATATAAATGTATTTTCAATTGTTTACAGCACCCCTCTTTAGCAGTCAATATATCATATCACTTTGTTTATTTTACCAGCTGTTCATAATGACTTTGATTCAAAAATGCTTTTTTTTATGTTGCTGAGTTGCCAAATATAACAAATAGATTATACTATTATTATACCAGTGATGTGTTGGTGCAACTACAGATTTAGTTGAAATTCAAGATTTTTTCAGGATGTTTGTGCGAATTAAAGCATATTTCTAACCTTTATACCTTCAAGTTAAGTTTTTTCCAAATTTGTAAGACTATGTACAAAAAGAAACTGGATTTAAGTCAATAAAAATGCATTTCTAAACCTTCATCTCTAGAACTTCATGAATGTACAGTATACAGAACATACCAGTAGCTCTTTGTACTTTGGCCTTTTTGACTCGTCCTTTGTAAGGCTAGAGGAAGGATGACAAATATAAAAAGTGTTAACAGAAAGAGGGTACAGTTCAGCCATGTTCACCAGGGAGACATACGGTACAGCTGGAGCCAAAACATGTTCAATACCCTGACATTAAAACATAATTTACATAATTTACATTCAAAACTTCTTCAATTTTTACAACTGTAACACATTTTTTACAATTTGAAATGCTAAGGAGGTTTTCAAATGAAGCTTTGAATGTCCGTCATCCTATTTTATGACGTTATCAGTCCTCTAAATGTAGATTTCTGGTCACATAAATACAAAATGTGGTTCTTTAAATGTTATTTATGGTACTTCTAGTAAATCAAAGTTATTAACAAAGCTTAAAAGCTTCTAACTCTTCAGTACAGCCCTAAACAGATTTGTGCAAAATGTGTTCCCAGCAGTGTTTCCTCACGACACGTTGACAAAGGAGATGAATTTGGGAGAGAAGCGCCTCTCCTCAGAGTTGCAGAGCTGTGGGGGGTCTCCCCTCGCCACCTGGGTCAGCTGGTCAAACACACTGTTCCACTTCGGGTAGGGGAACCTGCCTGTGGTCAGCTCGTACAGAAACACAACATAGCCATTACATATGGTATACAAGGAAAACTGCAGATACAAAGCAGGTGTAAAATAATAATGGTTGGTTCTTGACAGGAAGACAACCTTTGAAGTTATTCCAAAACTCCTTTTATTGTACACTATAACAGAAACATTTCCTGCTTTTTCACTATTAGAGACCCTACTTCCTTACAATATGTAAATTCTAGCATACAGTTATGTTACTTTACTATAGTACTTGATTATAATGAAAACAGTATATAAATTGATGCATGTTGTTTACAATGATATGAAACTAGTTAATGAAGCATACATTGTGATTGTCAATACTGAGCAATAAGGACATTTTCTTTTTACAAACTTTGATGTTAAATCATCTTTAAAATGTACACAGTTTTCCTCAATCTTAATTAATCGTTTAGGAGTAATGGGTATCCAAGTGTATGAGGCACCTTAGATGGTAGAGCTTAAAGCTATTTTTATTATTTTTCTATCTTATTTATTTATGATTTGACTCCATGAGTGTGAAGTGAAGACTCACCAGTGTGATTCCCAAACTCCAGACGTCTGAGCGGATGTCGTAGCCCTGCCTGGATGCACTGGGGTCTATTCGCTCGGGCTGAAAACCAAACAGGAAACAGATGACACTTTAACCCTTAGATGCACGAGTGACTGGACCCTACACTCTTCCATAAGTGGGTCAAAAAGGACCCGCATTAGAATAATATGTGTTTTTATGCCATTTTTGTCATTTTGGTTAAGAAAAATCACTTGTATAATATTTAGTATTATATTTTGGTTCACACTAGAAATATGTTATATTAAATGTTTCACTATTTATAATTTTAGAAATATTTTTACATTTTGAAAAAAACATTTTCCCATAGGATTCCATAGAAAATGCATGCCGGTCATTTTTGACCCACTTATGGAAGTTTGGGGTAGTAATACAAAAACTACAATTTCTTAAAATGTCAATTTAAAATTTGAATGGCATGATATCCAAAACATGTTTTTTGAGGAATAGCTGGAATATGAAATTATTAAAAAAAATGTAATTACAAAGATACTTCAAGAAAACCACCTCACCGGGTCAAAAAAGACCCACTTATGGAAGCTTGGGGTAGTAATACAAAAACTACATTTTCTTAAAATGTAAATTTAAAATGAGAATGGCATGATATCCAAAACATGTTTTTTGAAGAATAGCTGGAATATGAAATGATAAAAAAATGTAATTACAAAGATACTCTAAGAAAACCACCTCACCAGGTCAAAAAAGACCCACTTATGCATCTAAGGGTTAACCAACATGCTTAGGCTTAAATCCCCATGTACAAATGTTGAAATTATGCTTCAGTTTGCAACTTCATTTTGTATTCTCCTTTATTTTGTCCTACTGTTTGATATGTGTGAATGTACCACCAGTACAACATGTCAATAAACTTTGTGCAATAACAAAAACAATGTCTATTCTATATTTAGGCTTTTTGTACATCACATGTACATGTAGTAATATCCTACTGTAAAAGGTATTTTTACGGCACATACAGTATATTAGATAACTGGTGATGTGAAGTGCTGCTGTACGTTTAGCAAACCACCAGATGTCACTGTGTGTTGAATTTAAAGCCTCAAATACTTTCTCAGCATTAACAGAAACCTCCACATCTTTTCATCCTTAAAAAAAAGGGAAGTATAAAGCTGAACAAAAACAACCTCATGAGATATGATATGTTGTTAATAAGATTACGGGTTTTGTGATGTGAAAAGTGTTGCATTTCAAAGCCCATGAGGATATGTATGTACATTGTTATGTAGACAAACAAACTCAGTGCTTAAAACCAGTAAAAATAAAACTGAATAAAGCAGTTTCACTCAAGAAATCTGTGTTTTTCTGAAATTCGCTCAGCTTGTTTCTCCAATTACTCAAAATCCAAATGCCCGTGACAAAAATCCTTCATCTAGTAAAGAAAAAGATTCAAAGATCATATAAAAAGGGAAAACTAGATAGAAAGTTAGTCTACGTGAGCTGTGGCAGACAATGTTGTCGCATGCTCGAAAGAGAAACGACGCCATCACAGGATAACAAATTAAACGTACCAATACCTTGATTATAATTACGGATTTCTCTGGGTTAAAAAAATGCTGAAATATTTTGGATATTTTAGGTTCAGTTCACATCAACATGTATATAGCCTAACACAAGTGAGGTCATTTTTAACAATTCTAATGAGGAAATGTATTTTTTTAATGTCAGTCCTTTGGTTCCAGACTACATAACAATAAAGAATCAGGTGTTCCTGCTTAAACTGGGTCAAAACAAATCCAGTGCTCCACAAACTCTCCCCGGAGACAGCCCATCACCTCGGGCCAGGGACGTGCACAGACATTTTGGGGGGCAGGAGCTCAAGTGAGAAAAAGGGCACTTCCCATAATAAATTATAAAAAAAAAATTTAAAACAAAAAGTAAAAAATAGTTGCACATCTCTGACTTACTGACTGTAATGTTGTGACATACTCTTTGGTCCGGAGTTGTGAATACCCGGAATGTTATGAGTGACACCAGTTATGATGTAGAGCGTGAATAAAGCACAGCTAACGATACTCACTGTCTCCTGAGTTGTCTATAATAAAGCAAGATACACATACAAAAGGACAACACTATAACTGGCGACGAGGATACCGCAACACATCGCAGAATGTTCTGGATAAGCGGTAAGCGAACTACGCTGGCTAACACATAAGGCTAACAAGCTAGCCAAGCCATCCACGAGACGCACCATGGCCAATCTCCCACATTTCCCGCAGTTTGATGTGCACACTGAACCCAGCTCTGTAGGCTCGAGGTGGAAAAGGTGGATTCAACGATTCACCAACTTCCTAGTGGCATTAGACATAAAGGAGGATACACAAAAACGTGCGCTATTGCTGCACTATGCTGGATCAGACGTGTATGACATATTTGACACGCTGCCAGGAACGGGAGACACTGATGATTACGATACGGCCATAGCGAGCATGCAAACCTATTTCTGCCCCAAAGTAAACACTGAATATGAGATCTATATTTTCAGACAAGCCAGGCAAAATGACAGTGAGACATTGGATGCTTTCCACACGCGACTGAGACAGTTGGCGTCAACATGTGACTTTACCGACACTGATAAGGAAATAAAGTCACAGATTATTCTAAGCTGCAGTTCCGTGCGCCTCCGCATGGCGGCGCTAAAGGACAGCGATATGACACTTCAAAAACTACTGGATGCAGGCAGAGCTCAAAAACTGTCAGACAAACAAGCTGCAGGTATGGAGACAGGAAGATCACAAAAAGAATTCCCAGTGCATGCTGTACAAAAGAAAAGCTTCCAAAGTCATAAACAATTCAATAAATATAATAATGTGAAGCATGAATACAAAACCTGCAACAACTGTGGTGGACATTTTCCTCATGAGGGAGGACAAGCAAACTGCCCAGCAAAGGGGAAAGATTGTAAAGCATGTGGACAATTAAATCATTTCCAAAGATGCTGCAGATCACAAAACAAAGATTATACCCCTAAAGCTGCAGAAAAACAACAACATTACCGACCAAAATACAAAGTGCATCAGGTGCAGAAACAAACTGAGCAAAAGACACAGAGACCAGACACTCCAGACAGCTCAGCAGAAGATGACTATGTGTATGTTGTATGCACACTGCAAGACAAAGCAGAACACAAACGTACACAAATACAAATTGTGGACACAGTAATAAATGTTATTGTTGACTCTGGTGCGACAGTGAACATATTAGATGATGTTTCCTATGAAGAGCTAAAAGCCAGTTGTGAACTGCAACCATCTGCTGCCAAGATCTATCCTTATGGCTCATCCACTGCTCTTCCTTTGAGAGGAAAATGTAAAGCTGCAGTCCATTCAACTACTTCAACAGTGAATGCAGCTACATTCTATGTGATACAGGGTGACCATGGCTCACTGCTGAGTCGAAAGACAGCAACAGAACTAGGACTTCTGAAAGTTGTAAACTCTATGTCCACAGAAATGCCTATTTCATCCCCAAACCAGCTCCTCCATGAGTACCAAGACATATTTCAAGGCATAGGATAACTCAAATATTTTCAAGTGAAGCTACACATTGATGAGTCAGTGCAACCTGTGACACAGCCACACAGGAGGATTCCTTTCCACATGAGAAAAAGAGTGGAATCAGAATTAAACCAGCTACAGGAAAAAGGGGTCATCGAGAGAATCAGCGGCCCAACGCCATGGGTGTCTCCGATAGTTGCTACACCAAAACCAAAGAACCCTGACAAAGTTCGCATCTGTGTGGATATGCGCCTGCCGAACACAGCAATACAGCGAGAGCGCCACATCACACCAACTGTAGATGACCTCATCCACAACCTGAATGGAGCTGTAGTATTCTCCAAGCTGGATCTGAATGCTGGATACCATCAACTTGAGCTACATCCAGATTCAAAGTATATCACCCTTACCTCACCAGTGGCGTTTTTATATGTACAAAAGTGGTGGGGCACAAAAAACGTAGATGTCTATATATAAGCTTCTGCAGTGACGTGCAGTGAGGTTCATGGCTGCTGAGGCACTGGCACTGACTCTTCAGGTTTACAAATATTATATTTTGACCTAAACCAAAATATAATATTATTTTCAAAAGCTTTTTTTGTCTGATGCTTCGATTAATTTTAAACAGACAGTTCAACAAAAGGATACCCAAAAAATTTAATTTTATCATTTAAATATTGAATTGTTCTCTCTTAGTAAGATCCCATTTTCAAAAAATTGCGGTCTTACCTTGACTTGAAGATGAAGTCCATTTGCCTATCCTTCTGGACAAAAATTTCTATAACTTTTTTGTAAAAGTCCTCCTTATCTTCTTGTAGTTTCAAAAGTCTATCATAAATCTAATCGATAGATTTATGATAAAAAAATTATATAAGTAGGGTAGACATGTGGATGTTATCCGGCTGAACAAAACGTGCATTTATCTAACAGGTACGTTTCCCACAGATCTTATTTACAGCTATTTTCTAAAATTCTATGGAGAAACCTCATTGCTTTTTTGCAGCTTACTTCCAGGTTTTAGGACGCGTCACTGCAGCTCTCGTCTCCTCTTATTATACATCCATGCTCTTCACACACCACACTTTTCGCGGCACACGTACTTACAGCCAATCAGCTCTGAATGATGTGAGATGACGTATAGTGGGGATGGCAGCTCTGTGCCCCTTTGGTCTTTTTTTTTTTGCCACAGAGTGAAAAATACTCTGAGCATGCGCAGTGTAGTTTTAACAGTCACCGTTCACTTTGACAGTGAGAGGGAGGGGCACGATCAGGTTTTGTCCCACATGGCTCAAAACGGCACTGTAGACACTAATTAGAAGAACACAGACTAAAACAGCAATGTACAGACGAATCAGATGATTAAACATGACCTTAAAATATATTTTTGCATCTCTTTGCATTTTTTGTAATCATGTGTAATACTTTCTGCTGACACTAGGTGGGGCACCTGCCCCTAATGACCAGTCGCCACTGTACCTCACAGAGCTGTAGTTATCTCTCTCAGTCTGACAGCAGAGAGCTCTCTCTCCTTGTTTTAGAAACAGCTTCTAATATCCGTTAGCGCAGCTAGCTAACCATATGCTAACAACAACAATGCAAATAGTGAGTTTGGTAGAAATATACTGTATAATAGTAAAGTTATTTAAGATGATGCTGTGGTGATTGACATTATCCACCCACAGATCTACTGTACTGTGTTGTTTCACACGGACATTTGAGTGAGGCGGACTTAGGGTTTCCGCCGGTATTCTTCTCCTCGTGCATGTTGTTGTGACATGAAGTTCAGATGCAAAATAAAGGTCTAGCTTGTTCATTCGATACACCGCCTCCGACTCCCGTCTCTCGGCACCACATTGGTGACCCCGACGAAAGTCTCGTTGAAGGATCCGAGACTGTTCAGAACATGGCAAATAACGCCGTTTTTTTCAAACTGCCGGAGTTTTGGGAGACATCTGCGGCTGCATGGTTCGCTCAGGCGGAGGCTCAGTTCGCCCTCCGCGGAGTTGCTGATGACGCAGCACGCTATTTTCACGTTGTTTCGGCGCTGGGGAGCTCCACTGCGACCCGGACGGTGGGTTTTATCACATCTCCCCCTGCCCAGGATAAATATGCAGCGTTCAAGGCTTTCCTGCTAAAGACGTTCGAGCTGTCACGGTCGGAGCGGGCCCGACGCCTACTTGCTATTCATGGCCTGGGGGACAACAAGCCTTCCGACCATATGGAGATGATGCTCAGCCTGCTGGGTACGGAGGAGCCTAATTTTTTGTTTATCGAACTGTTTCTTCGGCACATGCCGCCGCATGTGCAGACAGCGCTCGCTAATACAGCTATTACCGAGCCCCGCGCTTTGGCCGAGGAGGCTGACCGGTTCTTCCTGGCGACCCAGCGTTTTACCCCTGAGGTGCTGGCCCCGACACACAACGGCGCCTTCCCGGGTACAGGCATGCCGCCTAGCAGGAGCTCCAGGGCCGACGTCAGCGACTCCAGCCCTGGCCTGTGCTATTACCATGCACGCTACGGGGCGAAAGCGAAGATGTGCCGTCCCCCCTGCACCTACAAGGTAGCGGGAAACGCCAAGGCCTGCGCTCGGTAGTGGCCGCGAGCGTGGGTACGTCCAACCGGCTCCTGTTCATCAGGGACACCCTCTCTGGTCGCAGACTCCTTTGTGACACAGGAGCCCAGCGAAGCGTCCTGCCGGCTACCGTGGAGGACGCCGCCGGTGGGGGTCACGGCCCGCCTTTGACATCCGCTAACGACACCCCTATTCGCACCTATGGCACAAAGACAGTGGACCTGTGCTTCGAGGGTCAGCAGTTTAGGTGGGATTTCGTCACGGCTGACATCTCCTTCGCCCTCCTCGGCGCAGACTTCCTGTGCGCTCACGGGCTGCTGGTGGACGTCAAGAACAACCGCCTGGTGGACGCAATGACATTTGCCTCGTTCACATGTACCCGCGGCGAGGCGTCATTCTGCGGGCTCTCCAGCTCACTCTCGCAGGGTGACAAGTTTCAGCACCTTCTCAGTGAGTTTCCCGACTTGACGCAGCCCACCTTTTCCGCTGCCACCGCCAAGCACGGGGTAGAGCACCACATTGACACTGTGGGCCCTCCAGTATACGCTAGGGCCCGGCGGCTCAACCCTGACATGCTGGCAGTCGCCAAGTCGGAGTTCGTCAACATGGAGCGTCTGGGCATCATCCGCCGCTCAGGCAGCCCTTGGGCTTCGCCGCTTCACATGGTCCCTAAAGCAGCCGGTGGCTGGCGACCGTGTGGCGACTACCGCCGCCTTAACGACGCCACTACGCCAGACCGCTACCCGGTCCCTCACATCCAGGATTTCTCTGCTCACCTGGCGGGCAAGCTGGTCATTGCGTAGAAACTGGCGTACGCCATTTTTTGAGGGTATATCCCTTTATAAATGAGGCCCCTGAAAACTACAGATTGTGTGGTATCACTTTATTTAATTAAATGAAAAACAAAAACTATATTTGTAGCTTAGCTTTATACACTGCATTGCAGGAAATATACATGATTTTCTCGAATTAAACCACACAAGCACACAAAAACTCAAATTGATTTAAATAAAAAAACTCAAGAGTTCTCTCAGGGAAAGTGTTAGTTGATCCCTCAGCCTCAGACGGTCTTCAGCCTCTTGGTCTCCACGCTGCGCGGCGCTGCCTCCTCCTGGTCTCTTTTGGCACCTCGGCCCTCGTCGGCCATCTTCTGCTCGCCGGAAGCCTCGGAGCTGCTTCCTCTCAGGTTTCTCAGCTCCCTCCTCTCTCTCTTCTCCTCCATCTCACCGATGACATCGGCGAAGAGGGTTTTCAGAGCTGGGATGAGCCTGGGAAGGATTTTAAAGTCCTCAAAGCGCATCTAAACAAAAAGAAAGTGGATAAAGTAAATGGGGTGAAATATAACTCCGGTGGCTTTTAACAAAGGAAAGCATCTTCATGTACTTGAGGAAGGGGACTCAGCAGTGGAAGAAAACAATATAAAGCTCAGGAGTGCAAGCAAACTGTCTGCAGACAATTTATTGTGTGAGATTCTTAAAGGACACCAATCATGCTATATTTAAATGATATATTGTCGGGCCATACCTATATAAGGTATATTTATACGTTTCCGTTTTCAAAATACCAAACAGATCATGCATTTTAGCCATGCCTCATTTCGCTCTATTTGCTGTTCTCCAGCCCTGTTTTTGCAGGGGGCTGATTCTGTGAGCTGCAGCTGACCACGCGCCCCTGCAGGAGAGGGGAGCGTGCTCTGATCAAGTCAGAAGAGGGGGAGAAAAATAGATCTTCGTCCTCCGTGTTTTATTATATTGTTATAGGCCTATAGAGTCGTTATTCATTTGTTTTAAAGCTCAATAAATAACAAAGAAGACCTTTGACCGGCACTTTTCAAATTTTGTCCGGAAGATTTAAACTTTAACGGACATCTTGACCGGCGAAAGAAAACCTAACTGAAACTCTGCCGCACGGTCCCCTCGTTCCTTGGAAGAGGCGGAGAGGTGGGTGTTTGTCATCTGCTGGTGGACTAACCGGAGAGAATTACAGTGCTTGCCTCGACGGGGAGGGATTGCATTGAATTAAAGCAGCGGGAGCAAACGCTTGCCTCGGGGAGGGAGAAAAAAAGCCACAGCGGAGAATAAACAGAAGGGTAACCATGGCAACCATGCACGGGAAGTCTTCTTCGCTGCTTTTGTGGCAGACTACAGCGCCACTTACAGGCCTGGCATATGTACTACAGCGTCTCCAGCGCTTTCGAGCGGCAATGGCCGGCCATGGCCCAACCCCACATTCCCCTGATAGGTGGAGAGTTGGCCCAATAGCCGTAGCGCCACTGTCCTGACGTCAGGACAGTGTTCAAATCTGGATCAGTTTTTATCAGATCCGTTGCAGCCCCTTTTTTAGAGATTTGGGTATGGAGGAAAATAGAGAGGGTTGTGTTTTCTGACACTTGGTGAGTTCCCTAGAACACCGGGGACACATATTCATGTATAAAAGACGTACAAAAGTACATTTTGCATGATAGGTCCCCTTTAAATCGAGGCTCAAAACTTTTCTTGTTGCCTTTTTAATACATCATATTTAGCACTAGCATAGCTTTTACCGTACCGTCATTGCTATGGTCCACAGTGTATTATTGTCTAATTGACCGTTTATCGCGTCATATCTTGTTTGACATTTTCTGACTTAGTTTGGCAGTGGCGCTATAAAAATAAACTGGCTGTGTGCAAATGCTTTAGTTAGAATATACCTTCAACTGTTTAAACAAACACTGTATATTATTGTGGATGTTTTGTATTAATGCTTGTGTATTCTACAAGGTATTTATTATGTCGACTGATAAGCGATGATTCACTCAAGGAACACATTTATGGAGGTATAATTGTGAAGCCAGAGAGAATGGAAAAGTGCTCCCACAGTATTTCATATATTGTATTTATTTGTGTTCTTAGTTTGAGGATAATACAACTCAGAACTTGTGTTTGCATATTTAAACTTATTCATGTTTAAAACTAGCAAAGTTTCCTGATTTTAGATTAGAAATAACAAGAATGGGAATCTCCCCTTTGGATACCGGTTTAAAACGTTTTTGATACTTGTGCAACAGAGAGAATCTGTTTTGTATTACAATACGAAGATACTGTACCTCTGTTGAATATAAACAACTGAAAACTTTGACTAAATACTATTAAAATGATGCATTCAGGTGCAATAATTTGGACCAGAAAAACACTTCTCAACTCTGAAATGAATGTGTGATTCAGTGCAGTAGATGGCTGTCATGTTTTTTTTTTAAAGACACAAAGCATAGATGAGAGACATCCAATCCGGGCTTAACTAAGATATAACATGCAGGGTGTGTCCTGCCATCATTGTGATTAGTTGCAACTATAATAACAAACAAATAATTAAATAAACAATACAAAAAAATAAGACGTAAAGGAGTAAAAAGTATATTGTGCTACTTTATTATTTCAAATTGTTCCATTGTTGTGGGGAGTTTTTGCTTTGGCTTTTTGTACACATATTAGCAGTTAACATTATAACGCCTTGTGCGGAATGCTTTGACAATACTATGTTTCAAATGTGGTCATGCCAACAAACCCCCTTAGTATTGTATTGTATTATTACACTCCGGGGCGGAGTGGCGCAGCGGGCTGTGCGTTTGATCATCAGATCAAGGGGGCGTTGGGGAACTCCAGTTCGAAACCCGCTCCCGCCGCCACTGCGTCAGGCCGTTGTGTCCTTGGGCAAGACACTTCACCCGAATTTGCTCCTGTGGGTATTGTCCACAGTACATGTATGATATTAATGTGTACTTGTAAAGCGCCTTGATGACTTTGAGGTGTGAAGATGGGCGGTGTGGCGCAGTGGGCTGTGCATTGATCATCAGATCAAGGGGGCGAAACCCGAGTCTGTAAAGCCGTTGTGTCCTTGGGCAAGACACTTCACCTGAATTTGCTCCTGTGGGTATTGTCCACAGTACATGACCGTTACATGTATGTATGTGTAATGTGTATCTGTAAAGCGCTTTGGGTCATGGAAAAAGCGCTATAAGGAATTATTATTAGCAATAAGGTTTCAAAAAGAATGTGAAATTGAATGTTTAAATATTTTTGTTTTTAAATACAATCCAAAATAACTGCTCCTCTTCCACACACAAAGGGGGAACGCTGCCTCGTGTGCATGACTATAATGATTATAATGAACACCATGGTGTTGTACAGTGACACGTACCCTCATGTGGTCGAAGGAGATCCCCACCCTGTCGCCGAAGTCCTCGCTGAAGAGAGGGATCTTGGCGTAGCGCTGGCTGAAGTGGTTCAGCATGATGAACTCAGCGTTCATCCTCATGCCGATGCCGATGGCCTGGGAGGTGGTGCTGTCAGAGAACATGGAGCAGAGAGTCAGAGATGTACTGCCTCCTCACTGAAGCTGGAACTCAAGAGCTGCAGGGGGAAACTGACCATGGGAATATTGCTTTTCTATCGGACATAAAGACATTTTTGCAAACATCAATGTCAATTTCTGTGGAAAGTGGAGAAGTTTGACATTGCACTCAAAACTGAGTCAACTAGGTGCTTTTATTATGTTGCCTGACTAACTGCCTTTTTATTCATTTATAAAAACACCATTAAAGCCCTGCAGAGGCAGTTTGTGAGACTTTGTTTCTCTCACCTATGTCTTTTATCCACGGCCTCCTCCTCCATCCCGTCTTCCAGCGTGGCCTCGTGGATCAGCAAGGTTGCATCCTTTCCTGCAAAATCAAAACAAACCAATCAGAGTGCCTGCATCACAGAGAAGAACTTCCTGTCCCGCAGGAAATCAATCAGGTACTCGGGCGTAATCAAGACATGGGCGCGCCCTGTTTGCCGCGCCGTCTGTAATGAACAGGCGTGGGACGTATCGGAGGCTTTGCTTGGACGGAATCCAGTCAAGCAATTTAAGAAGAGTCAATGAAGAAGGATCCCGCGGGAGCCATTAGGGAGGCTGCCAGCTGCGAGAGTGATCGAAAGCATTAAGAAATATCTGATCAATTATTCAGACCCAACCCGTGTAGTCAAGCTTCAGCTAGATAACCTTATATCTCTGGGATATTGAAAGCATACGCTCAATTTGCTCTTACATACCGTAGGTCGCTGTGGATGCACCTCAGTGAAACTTTAATATCATGCATCATTATAGCTGTAGGACATATGGCCATGTTATGTGGTCGTGCCCTTACATTTTTGGGCTGTAAGTTCAAAACTTAGGAAATGTTGGGTTTGGACTCTTGTCGCCTTATGTTGCTGCCTCTAACTTTTTTGTGTGTTCGTTCTGGTTTTGTGATTTGCCTTTTTATTTATTAGAATATTTTCTTAATTATTTTTTCACTTTCTTTAATTAGTTTAAAGAAAGTATCAGTAGAAAAATCTATGATTTTCTATGTTTTTAATTGGTGCCCTATTTGTTTTAAGAAAGACATGGCTAACATTATGAAAACTATTTTTTTTTATAGTAAAAGCAGCTGATCCAAGGACACTTTAAAGGGGCCCTATAATCGTCATTTTCAGGTTCACATTTGTATTTTGTGGGAACACAGAGATAGGACACACTACAGGAAAGGGGGAACCCCAAAGAGCATAATAAGACCCCTTTGATTTATGTCTATTTATCCAACAATTTTACAACATTATGGCATATTTCCCCCCTCGTGCAGTGGTTTCTCTGAGTGTCACTGACCGGTCTGCACGAAGGCGTTGCAGGGCATGGTGTCGCCAGAGAAGGCCAGCTTCCAGCCTGACGTGTGTGTGAAGCTGCAGGCGAAGGAGTTCTTACAGTGATGCACTGTGCACGTCTGGAACTGAGAAACACAAAACACAAAATATGAGTATATTTCAAATAAACTGGGCAGCTTTTTATATTGGAAAATGCAGCGGTAACACACCTTATCCAGATCGTTCTTCCTCAGCAGCGCTTGGATGAACGACTTTACCTCCTGCTTGGGCATCTCAGCACCGGCACAGAGATATGTGTTCGGGATGAGGCTGAAACAAGAAACAGAGGGGTTGTAGTGATTCATTTCATATACGTGTTTCTACTTAAAACATAGGGGAACCATAGAAACAGGAACATGCATCAGTACATGGTTTTCGCAGAACATAAATAAACTTGAATTATTTATAATAAATATTATATTTATTAATTCCTTTCTTTATATCTATATAAACTCAAGATACTTACCCAGGGCATCAATATTGAGTGAACATCATATCATATTACAAAGGAAAGCAGCCGTGATGATTTGAATCCAGATGTGATCTTATTCTACCCCAATTAGAAATATGTCCGCAATTCCATGAGGAATGTCTGTGCCAAAATTCATGAAGTTCGGAGAAACTATATGTGACTACCACACAATAGGGGGCGCTACTGAGCTGTTTTAACAAAAAAAATTAAGATTTCTTTGTTTTTTACATTCTCGAAAAGGTTGTGGGCTGTGACGTCCCAAGTTTTGTGTTCCAAAGCACATTTTAGCACATCATAAAAAAAAAAGTACAGGCCACGCCCACATTCGTCATTCGTTGCGACACTTTAAATATAAGTGCATACTCACCTCCAGAGTATGTCTTAAAAAAAATTATTTCGTCCATCTGTTCTTGAGTTATACATTTGTGGTGTTTTTGGCGCCCCCTATTGTCCAAATAGAAAATGCTTTGGTGTGCCTATTCCCCAAGACAGACTGAACCTATCCACCAAAATCTGTGATATTTGGATGCATTGTTGATGAGTTATGAGCATTTCTTTCTCGCCTTTTTGCGAATACGTTTTGATTAATGGCGGCCATATTTATCGACTGAACATGCTCATCTGACCCTCCAACGATGCTGTATACTAAGTTTGGTGTTGAAAAACTAAAAATTGAAATTTAAGTTAATATTTCACTGTTTTTAAAATTATGCTAATTAAAAGAAAATGTCAGGTCATTCAGAGTTACGGTGCAACTTTGTACATTTTTCCAAAAATGGAAATGGCCATAGGTAGCGAGAAAAAACCAGAGACCAAACTAAATGTTGCCGACACACACATCCATGGTCTCGAATCATAAAAAGGTAAAGTTTATATTGTTATATTTGGAGTCTTTGTGTGCACATACTTGATGTGGTGCAGGATCTCCTGGCAGTAGTCGTGGTACTGGTTGAGCCAGTACATGATCTGCAGCGGGGCCACCAGGAACACGGGGGTGAACGGCTTCCCCAGCGCTTTCTGAAGCACAAAAACATTGTTTCAAGTTATTCTAAAACATTAAATGACCAAAAGTAAACCATGTTTTAGGACTCATTGCGTTTTTTTCCTTTACATACCAGTGCTCTTTCCCTCTGATACAGCAACATTAGCAGCCCCTAAGAGGATAGAGATGATTGACTGATTTTATTCATGGATATAAAATCCAAGGGATAAGATGTAGAAGTGCGAACACATCCCTTCTGACATGTATTAACGCGCAGCTGCTTACCGTGTGGTGGTCGGCGTGCAGGTGTGAGATGAAGACGGTGGAGATCTTGGACAGAGCTTGGTCCACGGCGTCTCCGTAGTGTCTGCAGAGCTGCCCGAAGGTCCCCTCCCCACAGTCCAGCATCAGGGACTGACTCGGGCTACACAGAGAGAGGACATGAGGAGAGCGTTTGTTTTTGCTGCCATTGTGGAGTTACTCCTGCAACGGAAGATGTATCGTTTTTTTATTCAAAGTCGACCAAAATTCATTACATTGCGTCACCTTTAAGGCCTTATCCCTACCTACAGCACTATTTCTGTAAGCATAGCTTTTCGATCTGCTTTGGCCTCTTTTATGTCTCAGAAAATGGAGTGAGTGGAATAGTGTTGCCATGTGAACAGGGGAAACTAACTTTTTAGGTGTGTACAGTCAAAGTGTACGCCTTTCCTTTGTGAAAAGGCCACTTTTTTACATGTTTGAAAAATCCACATATGCAGAACCATTATAATGAAAAACAGAAGCGACACAAAGCACTACTGAGTTTTGACTGCTGCTACATTATAAGACTGAGGACTGAGACTCAGGCTGATAGGTGTGTGTTTGTGAGAAAGAGAGAAGGGAGGTTGTGAAAATAAAGTGATATGGTTTATTTTAAAACTTTGTTTTGGTCTTTTGTTTTGATAACTATATTGAATGTTGATTTTTTTTTTCATGGTCTCGTCTTAGTCGTGGAAAGAAAGGTTGTTGAAGGACATTTTTTGTCATGTTCTCGTTGAGGAAATGTTCACACCAAGGGAAGGAAATAATAAATTGTGCACATAAGCTAAAATGACAATCATTTTATGCAATTTCTCTGAAATAATCATATGAAGCGTGTTATAGCTTTAGTCAGGGCCAAGTGGATGTTTGTGTGCCGGATGAAAGGTTGGACATAATGGGATGATTTGCAGGTGCAATCCAAGTTCAAATATTAAAAGTACATTATTTTATAACCTGTGATCAATACCTGATATTCACTAAAGTGCCACTGACGTTTCTGATCTTCTGCGGAATAGCGGATCCTGTTCCCAAGAAAACCACCTCGAAGGATTTCTCTCTTTGCCCTGCAGATAGAAAAAGATACGCAATTAAACTCTTTTTTTCCGCCAAGACCATCCACTTAAAAAGTAGGAAACAGTTTGTCAGGCTTTGAAGTAAGAAACATCCCTTCTGGGCTTTTAGAGAGGAGAACTCACCAGAACGCTGAGCAGCGGCAGTGGAGCAAATCTCCCTGCACTTGTCCACTTCCTCCAGAAAGTTTGGGACCTCCGACGCCTCTTTCACAAACTCCTCCGTGTTGCACGAGGGGATGGCGTCTCTAACAAATGAGAAACAGAGTGAGGAGGAGGAGGAAGACACACACCACTGCCTGCAACAACACTGGCAGGGGATTCTTCCTGACCTTGATGCGCCTCTACAGAACTTGACAGAAACAGCGAGGAGAAAACACTGACACTTGGAAGACGAGGTGAAGAAGAAAGAAGAAGAGAGCGGCCGAGTGCAATGGTCCATTCCAGATTGTTTTCTGTGACAAGGCAGCAGAGTAATGTCGGCTAAATTGGGGGGATTGAAGGACAGACTGACCTTTGCCACTCCACTACGGGTCTGAGCTGGAACTTGAGCAGACACTGGGCTCTGACGCTGGAGACGTGCAGCGCTGCCTCGGCCTCCTGGGGATGAGACCAAAGCTTTTCATGTTTTCTTATAAACTACTTTTTATGGACCATACTTGAGTTATCCCTTTGTGAAGGCTGCTTTCAAAGCCATAGGGAAAATAGTTATCGAAAGCCACTGCAGTAAATCCTGTCCTGAAACTTTATATATATTTATTAGTATTTCGGCTGATAAATGCTGTTGCTAAGAACACTTAAAATATTTAGTTTGCCTAAATAGGTTGTTCATTGTTTGCAATCTTTTTTGATGATGTGCAGAAAACTATTCAGTTGATACATTAACAAAAAGTGCATTAATGCAAATTAAGTGAAGAGCTATTGAAGCAGACAGAGACGATAACCTCCTAAATGAATGTTCATTTAAATGCAGCCATTTTGTGACATTTAGTATTATTAATAATATGAGCAAAATAAATAACACTCCTCTCTGAATATTGCCATCAGCCATTGAAAAACCCATTTCCATAACAAAACTGAGATAAAAGAAATTAAATATTTACAATGGTCAAAACCTAAAATATGATACTATTTATTTTCAAATGAGAGCAGATTTTGCTGAAGTAAAGAAATCATCATCATTTTTGGGTCATTTTATATAAATCATTTTCACCGTGACTTAAATGTATTATAGCTGCAATCAAGCATTCCTTTAATTATCAAATAACATCACTCCCTTTTACCAATTTACAAAAACTCATATGTAGACACAGCTACATCTAGTGGATTTATTTCAAATAACATACCTAAACCCAGGGGGAGAGATGGCTCCAATCGGTTAAGTTGAGTTCAACACGTTTTTAAATAAATGTAGTTCCTCAAATTGTGCTTTACAGACAGTTCAGCAGAACACTAAAAGGGATACATCTTACTCTACCAATTATTTTCCAATCAATGTCTTGAAAAAATGGCAGAAAATAATAAAATGCAGAAGTTATATCTCACACAGGCTCCGCCCTCTACTGGGCTCTATGGGTACTACTCTCATCAATGACACGCGAGCGTTCACACACTGAAGTTGTATAAACGTAGCCGGCCAATCAGGGCGAGCCTACCTGAATGCCCGCGCAGGCACACAGTATATAACGCAGCCACGCCTCCTGACTGTCATCCTTTTCTCTTCAGCGAGCAGGACAACACCTGACAGAGAAAAGTAAAACATTTGAAAGAAGAAGACTCATGGAGTCGCCATGTCTAGAGACCCGGGCCTGTCCTTCCTGGCCTGGCTTAATAGCGGGCGCCGATCCCTACCACCTCTGCTTCAAGTGTTTGGGGGACCAGGATATGGCCGAGGCGGTGCCATTCACGTTCGCCATTCCATAGACCCTCCAGAAAAACGCGGGCAAAAATCCTTGATTATGCGATTAAACATGCAGGGTTTTTATGTGATTTTATGCGGTGAAATTGCGGGAAGTTGCGAAATATACGGGAAGCGGAAAAAAGGTGATTCTTCTCCCACACCCTGTTACTAGGCTACTACTGAATGAAAGTGAGCCCTTTTAAAGAGTTCCTATGATAAACAAGCATACTAGAAGCAAGCTACATCACAGAAAGTGTTATTTATGTATTCACACACACACACACACACACACACACACCTGTTTTCCTTTACTCGTTCGTTATCTGACCAGCTTCAATCTTGTAGGCTACTCACCTCGTTTCTTGTAGCCCTCGAAAGGGTTTTGGAGGTTGATGCCTCGGTGAACGCGAGTCGTTTGGCTTTCTTGTCCGCAGCAGCAGAAAGCATTTTCGAATGTTTGAATGAATCAAAGTGGGTCGTCACCGTCAATTTTCTCTTATGCTCCAACACACAGTTGCACGGGGTGCAGAATAGTTTCCCCCCACTTTCGTGCAAGACATCGGGGTACTGCTTTGCCCGGTCTTTAGCAGAAATGTTCGTCGGTAAATGAGATGGATTAGATTTTTTCATCTTGGTGTGTTCTCTCTCGTGTGAGTTCCACACGTTCACTCTACGGTGTCGTTTACCTTCTGTGATGCACGAGCTGATGACGTTGCGTCATCATCATCATCATCACTACTTCACGTCAAGACGAGTTCACTTTTTTTTTTCTCAATTTTGTGTGGAAAAATGTGGGGATTATGCGCCCTTTTAATAAATATGTGCCCTTTTAAAAATCTGCGCCATTTTGCTGATTATGCGGTAAATTATGCGATCGCATAATCACGTTTTTCTGGAGGGTCTAATTACAGCGGGGCGGATGGCTCTGTTTGCCGGGGAGGAGGATGAGGAGTACTTCTCGTTGTCGGGCACTTCCGGGTCCGGCGTCCATGGAAGTCCACCGCCTAGGTCTGTCCGCCAGGACTTCCCCCTGGTGATGACCATGGCGGCGGAGAGAACCTCTGCCCCGCTAAACACACCTTGTCTGGTATAATAGCTCCGATTAATGCATTTCACTGTTAATGTGAAACACAGCGTTAATGTGAAACACAGCGTCAATACGAAGGCGCGCGGCAAAGCGAGAGTGCTTTCAAGGACCTCCGCAGAAAATCGGCCCTTTGGAAGGTTTGGCGGAGGAGAGGGCCACCAGAGAGTACCACAGCTTCTTATCTGCGGCTCCACAGCTCCTTGCATGTCTCCTAAAACACAGTTTTATGGGGAATGGAAGCTCAGCTGTTTACTGACAGAAGGGGTGGACAGGATACTGCGACTGGGTTACTCACTCCAGTTCTGCAGCGTCCCTCTTCCATTCAGGGGTGTAAGAGAGGCAAATCTATCATCCTAGGAGGAGATAGGTTTCCTTTCAACAGAAATTCAGGCCCTGTTGCAAGAACGGTGGGTTACGTATTGTAACCCTAGTTCTAGAGTGATGTGTGTGTGAAAAATGCATTCAATAAAAACTATTGCATTTATCCCAGAGTAAGAGTCATCTCTCTCCACAATTCCACATTTCCCCATAATGTCTCGTTGAAATCGGCAAGATCCGTTTCATACGATGTTAATTGGGCACCCATTATGAGACACGATTCCCCACTCGCCGCCTCAGTTGTAACTCCAGTAAATGAGGCAGCCAGTGGGCGCGCTCATGTGAGTGTGATAAACCGCGGGAAGTGCTGTCAAAGCACTATGCGGGTGCAGGGACATTATGGCCGGCGTGTTGTCAGAAAACACACCTCGTCTAGTGTAATAGCTCCGATTGATGCATTTCCCCGTCTGTGTGAAGACGGCATTATGACGGGGCGCGCGGCCCCCCGAGAGCGTGCCGCGGTGCGTTCACGGACCTCAGTAGAAAATCGGCCCTTTCTGTGTCAGCCCCCTATGGGCCAATCTTCCTTTTATGGAAGGTTTGGCGGCGGAGTGGGCCACCAGCTGCTTGCAGGTCCCCTAACACAGTTTTATGGGGAATGGAAGCTCAGCTGTGTACTGACAGAATGGATGGACAGGACACTGAAACTGGGGTACTCAATCCAGTTTTGCAGCGTCCCTCCTCCATTCAGGGGCATAAGAGAGGCAAATCTATCATCCCAGGAGAAAATAGGTTTCCTTTCAACAGAGATTCAGGCCCTGTTGCAAAAACAGGCTGTGTCTGTTGTGCACTCTCAGGACAGAGAAAAGGGGCTTTACTCCATGTACTTCCTGGTTCCCAAGAACACAGCAGAATTCAGACCCATTCTGGATCTTCGCAGCCTGAATCAGCACATTGCATGCAAAAAGTTCCATATGTAAACAAATTACTGGAACTAGGGCAGCCGGGCGATTGGTTCACAACCATCGACCTGAAGGACGCTTACTTTCATGTCGAAAATTGCTCCAAAGCACAGAAAGAATTTGCGTTTTGCCTTCCAGGGTGTAGCCTACGAGTACAACAGACTACTGTTTGGCTACTCCCTATCCCCACGCACGTTCAGCAAATGTGTGGCCACAGCGCTTCAGCCGCTTCGCGACCATGGCATGAGGGTTTTCTAATACGACCTCATAGTCATGGCCAGGTCCAGGGAAGGGGCAAACACAGCCCAATTGATCCAAGTGGATTGCGGTCAATTGGAAGAAGAGCAGTCCCATACCTCACCAGCAGGTGGAATATCTGGGGATTTTGCTCGATGCAGGCAGACTACAGACTACAGCCCCAGGTCGCCGCTCGGCACCGTGGTACGCAGAGGTGACACAGATGATGGTGGGCCAGCACTGGGCGGTTCCTCAGGTCTGAGGGGTGTTGTCTCAGGAAGCAAGTTGGCCCAGTCCCACTCTGGGCCAACCTCTCCAGGCTTGGCTCCTGAGAGGGACAGGCTGAGACGGGAGGGACTGTCTGACAAGGTTATTCAGACTATCCAGGCAGCAAGAGCAGGATCCACCACAGCCTGTTACAGGACGAAGTGGTTGGGATTCCAGCTGTGGAGTGAAAAAAGGAGTCTAGAGACTCTATCATGTACGTTGGGCTCTATTCTGTCCTATTTACAGATACTGGTGGACAGGGGGCTTGCCCATTCCACAATTAAGGTGTATGCAGCAGCCATCTCGTCCTGCCATGAGGGATTTGGCGGCAGGTCAGCCTTTAGTCAACCGCTTATGGCACGTTTTTTGCAGGGGGTCAGGAGACAGCGCCCAGTGGTGCACGCCTCCGCCCCGCAATGGGATCTGCCGTTGGTGCTTGAGGCTCTGGTCACAGAACCATTTGAGCTCTCCTCCCTGAAGGCACTATCATTGAAAACAACCTTGCTGCTTGCCTTGACTTCGGCGAAGAGAGTGTGCGAGCTGACCGCTCTGTTGGTGCACCCGAGTTGCCTTTTGATTCGGGGTGACCGTAGCGGGGCGACACTCAGACCGAACCCCTCCTTTGTTCCCAAGAACCAAAGGAGTTCGTTCAGGTTGAGGGCTATACAGCTAGACGGCTTTAGTCTTCCACCCCATATTGGGGACATGGAGGCTAAATTGCACTTCCTCTGCCCGGTGCGTGCGCTGGCATGTTAAATAGGGCGCACGGCTCCCATTAGGCGCACTCAGTGGCGACTGGTCATTAGGGGCAGGTGGGGCACAGCCCCACCTAGTGTCAGCAGAAAGTATTACAAATAATGATTACAAAAATGCAAAAAAATAAATAAAAAAATATATAAAATATATTTTAAGATCATGTTTAATCATCTGATTCGTCTGTACATTGCTGTTTTAGTCTGTGTTCTTCTAATTAGTGTGTCTACAGTCACAGTGTGTGCCTATTGAGCTGTTTAGAGCCATGTGGGACAAAACCTGATTATGCCCCTTCCTCTCGCTGTGAAGTGAACGTGACTGTAAAAACTACACTGCGCATGCTCAGAGTATTTTGTAATGAAATGTGTGTGGCAAAAAAATAATGACCAGAGGGGCATGGAGCTACCATCCCCACCATACGTCATCTCAAATCATTCAGAGCTGATTGGCTGTAAGTACGTGTGCCGCGAAAAGTGTGGTGTGTGAAGAGGAGACGAGAGAGCTGCAGTGACGCGTCCTAAAACCAGGAAGTAAGCTGCGCATGGCTTCCCTCGACAAAAAAGCAATGAGATTTCTCCAGAGGATTTTAGAAAATAGCTGGAAATAAGATCTGTGGGAAACGTACCTGTTAGATAAATGCACGTTTTGATCAGCCGGATAACATCCACATGTCTACCCTACTTTTATAATTTTTTTATCATAAATCTATGGATTAGATTTATGATAGACTTTTGAAACTACAAGAACATAAGGAGGACTTTTACAAAAAAGTTATAGACATTTTTGTCCAGAAGGATAGGCAAATGGACTTCATCTTCAAGTCAAGGTAAGACCGCAATTTGATTGAAAATGGGATCTTACTAAGAGAGAACAATTCAATATTTAAATGATAAAATTACATTTTTTGGGTATCCTTTTGTTGAACTGTCTGTTTAAAATTAATCGAAGCATCAGACAAAAAAAGCTTTTGAAAATAATATTATATTTTGGTTTAGGTCAAAATATAATATTTGTAAACCTGAAGAGTCAGTGCCAGTGCCTCACCAGCCATGAACCTCACTGCACGTCACTGCAGAAGCTTATATATAGACATCTACGTTTTTTGTGCCCCACCACTTTTGTACATATAAAAACGCCACTGGGCGCACTGAACAGCTGTTTGTGTGCTTTGGTGATGGTGTGGCCGGTAAAGCTCTGCCCAAGAAACGCCTGACAGGATGGCTCTGCGAGTGCATTTCACATGCCTATGGACAGGCGGGGAGAGCCTTCCCCACTGGGGTCCATGCACACTCTACACGTGGTATGGCTGTATCAACAGCCTTGTTCAACGGCGTGAGTGTGGAGGACATATGCATGGTGGCGTCTTGGTCTACGCCAGGCACCTTCATAAGGTTTTATCTTTTGGACATGTCTGGCTCCTATTCATCGTCTGTGCTTGCTGGGGCAACACAGGACTGGTGAGGGGGGGGGGGGGGGGGGCTTGTAGGACAGTAGGTATCTGACCCCCCCCCTGGACATAATGCACTTATGTTTTCCCATGCTCCTTAGGGACCCAGGGAAACATGGTGCGCAGTAAGCCCCATGGCGGGGAGAGCCTTCCCCACTATCGTCCATGCACACTCTACACGAGGTAAGCGTGTGTGAGTGTGGGGGACATGGTGCACTTAAGTTCTCCCCATGCTCCTTAGGGACCTGGGAAACGTAGTGTGCAGTGTTAGTCACTTGCGCTGGCACCTGCAGGGTGGAGCTATGGGCTTATTCAGACCAATTAGGCTCTACCCAGCGAAGTATGCTGCGGTCCCGACTTCTCCACGGTCACAACCGGATGAGAGGAAGTTGGGGTGCGGTGGCTGTTAACCAAAGGTCGGTCAGGGGCAGTGTGATGGGTCGGTGTTGTAGACGACAGGGCGTTTATCCATCGGGGCTCCACCCACTGTACCCATAGAGTCCAGTAGAGGGCGGAGCCTGTGTGAGATATAACGGGGGGTTACGTATTGTAACCCTAGTTATATAAGCACAGGCGGAGCCCTCTACCTAGGGGCCCTGTCTTTCCTATGCTCGCTGAAGAGGGTGTAGGATGACAGTCAGGAGGCGTGGCCGCCTTATATACTGTGTGCCTGCGCGCGCATTCAGGTAGGCTCGCCCTGATTGGCCGGCTACGTTTATACAACTTCAGTGTGTGAACGCTTGCGTATTATTGATGAGAGTAGTACCCATAGAGTCCAGTAGAGGGCTCCGTCTGTGCTTATTGAACTAGGGTTACAATTAATTCATATTAATTACCCCGTTATTAGACTCCATGGAGACATTTACAAATATATATTTTTTATCCTTTATGTTTGTATATTCTTATTTTTTTGTCCAATTTAGTCTATAAAATATATAGGTATAAAACACAGAAAATAAGTTAATGTAAATATTAGAGAAGCTGGAAACAGTGAATCTTGATAAATGCCCACTAATTTCTGCGTAATAAAACAATGCGTATTGTTTTGTGTTACCTTTGTTTTGAAAGTCTTGAGCTCTGGAAAGATCTCCGGGTGGATCATGTTCAGCTGGGCTTGGATTTTGTGACTTCTAACGTTGTGGACCGTGCGATTGTGTTCATTAAGGATCAGATGTTCAGTGGTGGAGGGGAATCTGCAGAAACACAGGAAACTGTTAAAGGGGGGGGGGGAGGCTTCAGGTGAATGGGGTCTTTTAACTAATAGATATCTCCATGAACTTCCCCAATTAATGACTTACATTCAGACACTTTTCTTTGTACAACAATATTTTTAAAATGTTATTTTAAATACTTAAATCAAGCTCAAACAGAAATGTGAACATTGGATAAAGTCAGGTTCAACATTCTAGTTAAATTTGCTGACATATTAGAGTTAAAATATTAAGAGTTTAGATTGCCTTCAAATATATTGTGAAATTCATACAATTTGCAAGACCCTAAAGGTAAATGGAGTTATATATCTTCAAGAAATGTCCCCAGTTCATAACCTGTAATACAATAATACGAGTTTAATATGCTAATGCAAACGTTTAATGAATTTAGTAGAAATCTACAAACACATAGTTTAGATATTCAACTAGTCTGAAATAAAAACATGTCATGGAAGCAGAAACTGTCAAAATGTAAAAGTGCACCATAATGGGTTTTTATTATCTCGCCTTAACTGAATGTTAAAAAAAAGCACAACAGCTTAATGGAGTCTGGCTTTATAGTGCGGCATCACAAACCTCTCCATCCACTTCCTGTATTGATCTGTTTTCAAAACACATTCTGGAGTCATGTGGACGACCATCACTGCAGAGTCCTCTGTCCCTCCTGTCTGGTATCTAGAGACAACATTTAAATACTTTTATTTCACATAAAGAAACGAGCATTACTGAGTTTTCAAAATCAATTTGACTGATTATAACCTTCTCAGCTGCTGATTGGAGCAAACCGCCTCGATGAAGTCCTCAGACGGACACTCTACGATAATAAAGGTCGGTCCCGGGTCAGCAGGAGTGCAGACCTGCTCCGGCCGGATCTAAAGACAACAGAGAGGAATAAGTGACCCGAAATAGTTTATAGATACAGGATAAAACATTGTATTTCATATCAGACAGAGCATCTGTATACAGCACCTCTTTGCCTTCGTACATGACGCTTTTCCCGCACTTCAAAGATGCTATGAGAGGACCAATCACTCTTGTGCCACTGTGGGGAAAAAAGATTTCATAATAGTTATTTAAAGTTTAAAGAAACTTTGTGAAATACAGAATTATTGTTCAGGATTTTAAATTATACAACTTGTTTCTGTTTTAAAAGATCAGAAATTAAATATTTGAGGGTTTTGAATAGGTAACTGGACAATTTCTGACATTTCATGCATCAAACTAGGGCTGTGCAATTAATCGTATTTTAATCTCGATTACGATTTTGGCCTGCAACGATTACGAAAACAACGTAATCGAAATAAAATGATTATTATTTTTATTAAAAAAAAAAAAAAAAATGTAATTATTTTTTTTTTAAATATTTTTTTTATTGGTTTTTCAGTTGAATTATACTTTAAGTTCAGGGTAATCAACTGTTAAAAACATACTGTTCCAATTTTATTTTTCAATAAATGGATGTTTTCAAAGTAAATGGATAATCGTTTTTAATAATCGTGATATCAATTATTGACCAAAATAATCGTGATTATGATTTTTGCCATAATCGCACAGCCCTACATCAAACAGTTAATTGATTAATGTAAAAAGAGTCGGCAGATGAATACAACATTTATAATTTGTAGTCACATGAATGGATGATTAAACAAATGTGGCTATAAAGTGCTATGGTAAATAATAACAATATTCAGTATTGTTCAGTTTGACAAAACCATAAAATCAGGGGGAAAAGTGCGTCGTGATAAACTTCTATACAGCTGTTAACAAATGTGTTGTTGTTATTATTATTATTAATATTAGTGTTTAAGAAGTAAGATCGGATCGCTATCCACTGAGTTCAAGCTTTTTGTATTTATAGCTTTTGTTAATATTGAAATAAATCAAATCTGTGAAAATGCACCCATATGTCTGCATAGTACCCTTATTAACAGATCAATCATCTGTTCTGTTGACTTTGTATTTTTTTTAAAGTCCACTCACACAGGCAAACCCAGCTCCCTGGCTTGAGCGACTAAGAAGTTTCCTTTCTTTGGATGAAGCTGTGGATGGAAAGGAGAAAGTCAGATACAACTTTCCCTGCTGTGAACTTCACACATCATTTCTGAAGTTTCCTACCTTGCAGACGTAGGAAACAACCAAAGACGTGTCTCTAGTAGCTTTTCGTCTTTCACCTACAAGACATTAGAAGAAACAAAAGTCACACATCACTGATATCACTGAAATATCAGTTAATTCCAGCTGAATTCAGCTTATTTATTCCCACCCTGCATTGCATTGTGGGACAACAGCGTCCATCAACACCCAATTAATGATTTGAGACTTCCTATTATACTAGGGCTGCAACATCAACTCATCGATTATCAAAGATGTTGGCAATGAGTTTTCGTTATCCATTGGTGGGCTTTATGTTATGACTCATGTCTTCTATGATAGGACCTTGTATAGCTCACATCATGAATTACAGGAAATGACGATGCCTCTTTTCCAGCATTTGAAACATTGACTAACAAAACAGCAAAGCAAAGTGCAGAGGCTAACGTTTATTTTAAATGTCAAGTTGTTTAGAAGTAGTACAATAAGACAATAATGTAATAATCGTTGGTTGCAGCCCTTTACTAGCCTGATATCAGACCAAATAAAATCGTAAACGTGGACATATTTAGAATCTTTTCAAGTCATGTTAGCAGCTAGAAAATGTGAAACTCACATCAATGCTCCCCTCATGATGATTCGTAATAACTCTGGCCATCCTCTGACTCTTATGTAGTACAATTATTGGGTAAAATGCTGTCCAGTACATCAATTTAAGAACCAAAACCTTCTTAGGTATCAACCTCAGCTGTATTTTTGTTCACTGCTAATAGGCTAATGTAAACGTTAAGCAATATACCTGCAAAACATCCATACTTTCGCATGCTAATGTTAGCGTTTTAGTCTCCTGGCCTCACCTGGACTGTCTCCACGGCTGTTGCTGTAGGAGTCGTCTCTCCTAGGGGAGGGAGGGCTGTGGGACGGGCTGCTCCTCCCTGATTTGGGGGAGAACGATCTGTCGTCACCCTTCAACTGCGCTGCAGAGTGAAGACAGGAACGGGTTAGCTGCAAACCCAAAAGCACTTAAGAGGAAGTGTAAGTGAACATCAAAAGGATCAGGAAGGACTCACCAAATATTGGCACTTGATAAACTGTCATCGTTTCATCCGTGTACATCTCTTCGGTGTACGGTCGCACAGCTAGGAGTGTATAATACAGTCAACATCAAACAGGACTCACATGATAATAAATAACGCTAATAAGTTTGGATATGTAACATACACAGCTTGATGTCCTCCAGTGGTCCAGAAAACGACTTGATGGCTTTCACATAGTTCTCCTGTGACGGAAAAAGGCAGCGAAGAAGATGCATGATTATTTATCAAAATGTGTGAATTAGTATGGTTACAATTTGGATATTGAGGTATTTGGTCATACATTTTTTGATATATGATTTATTCATATTTCTCAGCCCTACATACTGCAGGGTTGAGTTTCTCACCAGCTGTGGAGGTCCAGAGAGAACACACTCTGGCACACCTGTGTCCTTTAGAGTTAATATCAGCCCTGCAGCGGAAAGAAAAACATTTAATGAAAATGTTCAGTCTCTGATGTGTCTTCATCACTCAAAACAGGAATAGGAAATCCTTTACACTATAGAGGTGCAACTGTAAACAATAATTGTTTTGATAAAGGGTTAAAAGTTTAAATCGCTGCAAATATAACACGTTTTTTTCCAATATTTAATGTCCCTGCTTTCCTCGGTTCCATAATGTATTGTAACTGGGATGCACACTTTTCAATATTTTCTGACACATTTAATAGACCACACGATTACTCAAGAAAATATTTGTTCAATGTTATAATGGACATGCAAGACATAATATCTGAATAAATTAAAATGTAAGATTAAAGTGATTAAAATAAGCATTCAATTTAGAAGTATTAATTTGCTTGCATTAATTGAAACCGCAAAATACTTTTTTAAAGAATATTACTATAAAAAGGTCAAACTTTTGCAATTGTGTGTTGCTCTTCAAGTTGCTTATCCACACATCAAGCAGTACAAACATAATCATTGATTATGAATGTTTGGTGATATAGTATGGCAGAGTAAAGTAACATGCAAGATGGATGAACAAAAAAAAGTCACTCTAAAGCTCTGTAAGGCTGAGGGCTGGTACTGACCTGATAACCCCCCCACATTCTCCCAGCTCATCCTGGTGAGGAAGATGTTGTCCAGTCGAGCAGCTTTCAGTCTGTCAGAGGAAAACACAACAATATTTACTATGTTTGACCTCACCCATCAGACTTATTTAGATAAACAACATCTGTTTAACCTATGGACAGTATAAAATGTGTTACTTACTTGTGTTCCTGCATCAGTCTCTGTGTTCCTTCTCCACAGTTGAACAGGTATCTGCAGTAGAGAGAGGGGGGGGGGGCACTCCATCAGTTTGCACGTGTTATGCATCTTTATATCACTCTGGCAGAGCTTCTAAGATTAATTGATTGCTGTTATCAAGGTTATCTATCAGAGTAGTATTCCATCAGGGAATCGGTGTATGGATATATCTATATTTATCTGCACATTTTTTTTTTTTTTACATGTAAAGCACTCTAAACTACACTAGACCACTCCTTTGCTCCCTCCACTGGCTGCGAGTGGATGCAAGAATCCGCTTCAAGACACAGGTGCTGGCCTACAGAGCTGTGAAGGGAACAGCTTCTTCCTACATCCAGGCCTTGGTTAAACCATGTACTCCAGCACATGCACTATGCTTGCCGTCAGCCAATCGGCTTGCTACTCCATCACTGCGAGTGGGACCCAGGTACCCCTCAAAATCATGCCTGTTTGCTATCCTGGCTCCTAAATGGTGGAATGAGCTCGCCATTGACATCAGGACAGCAGAAACTCTGCATATATTCCGTCGCAAACTGAAACGCATCTATTTTGACTGTACCTTAGCAATTAAATTATTTCTGGGAAAAAAAGGTCTTGTAACTAATTCACCAGCAATTAATATGATATGATCTTGCTTGAAGTGAATATATCTTCACTTTCCTTGTTGTTCGGAGTTTGATTCTTCATGGTTTTTTGACTTATTGTAAATCGCTTTGAACAAAAGCTTCAATTAATTGATATGTAATGTAATGTCATTTTGCATTATGTGGTCCTATACATCATTATGTTACATTTTGTTTTACTAAATCTTTTATCCGAAGATACTATACATTCACTCACTTTGAGATTAAGAATTCAGAACAGCAAGAATGCTGCAGGTGCATTAGCTTCAAATAATCCAAACAACTTTTTGTATTATTTTGTTTGGATTAATGATGTCAAATATAATCAAGTCTTAAATCAGACTTTAGTTCCACCTGGAGTAAATTCACAAGCTACCCTGAAGTATACAAAGTCATTCAAACTAGCTGCCCCTTTAACAGCTTTGATAACACTTTAATGATCAATCATTATACTCAAACCATATCATATTATTCTGTAATGGACCAATCTGCATAATGAGTACTTTTACTTTCGGTACTTTAAGTATATTTTGATGCTAATACTTTTGTACTTTTATTTTAGTAACATGGCGAATGCAGGACTTTAACTTGTAACAGAGTATTTCTACACTCTGGTATTTCTACTCTAGTACTTCTCCAACCTCTGACCACTTTGTAATTACAGATATGTGTTTTAGGATGCTTACACAGCCCTGGTTTCAAAATAACAACATGGCTAACTGCTGACATGTTAGTGTGTACAGTACCTGTTGTAATCGGAGAACACATACAGGGAGGCAGCGTTGTCTCTGCTCCCAGCCCCGACCACCTGCAGGTACACGGTGGACGGTCCGTGAGCGCCCAGTTTGCCCAAATGCTTGGCTTTCTTCGGTCCCAGCAGCTGCCTCGTCTCCGGGGTGTTACTATGATTCGTAGCCATTGTGCGGAATAACTGGAAGAAAGTCCGGTGGAGAGTAAACTCACAGCGAGTGACAGCCGCAGACAGAGCTTTGCCTTTAATACACACAAGTGTAAAGGTCCTGAGCTTCAAATGGACCGTATTCATTATAAATAAGCCACGGTCATTAAAAAAAAACAACACCGATTCATGACTTATTGCTCGTTTATAAATTTCCTCACGCTTTTCTTAAAACATTATTTACCTAAAAGCAACTAGATGGATGCAAATTCAGCAGTGCTTTAGAGGTTGGTTGGCACATGTGACATTTCTTCTTCTTCTTCTTCTTCTTCTTCTTCTTCTTCTTCTTTTATTTAATGGCGAATCGCTTCCACTTGGAGCATATATCGCCACCTACTGTTGATTTATTAAATGTTCATATTAAATCCTTGTCCTCAGACCAGTGCTTTTGAGGAATTTGAAGATCAGCTTGTTTGCTTCATTTCTTGATTTACTTTCGTATATTGACTTGAAATCCATGTCCTTGATGTTGAGTTGTTCCAGTGCAGTTTTCAGAATGAGTCTTTGTCTGTTATAATCCGGGCAGCTCAAGTCCCTCAGTGGCAGCCATGATAAGTGCCGTTCGAATTCTCTAAATTAAAAGGAAAGGAGGTTTCAAACTTCCTTTATAACCTCCTTTAGCCTAGGAACCACTGGACCTCCCTAACCGAAAGGAGAGGAGAAAATGCTGCCCCACAATGCCTTGCGGCCGCGGCATTTGCCGTCACACAACAGTCGGCCGTTCACGGAAACAACCGATTATGAACGAGAAATGATATCATGAAAGTTACGGTGCTTATTAAGCATTTTAAAACGTATGTGGTAAGTTGCCAAAGTGCTTTGTTTTGAACGTTCATCAGTGTTATAATCAAAAAGAGAAATATGAACGTTAGTTTTTACTGAAATGATCAAATAAAGTCAACATTTCACAGTCTTTACTGAGCTGTGTGGGGTTTGTTCAACTTTTAAAAGATGTTTGAATGGTGATATACACAGTGATAGATGTTAAGGACTAACGTTTATAATAAATACATTTGTATTGATTTTAAGATCTTTTCATGCAATCATACGTATTGGGATCATTTGTATTAATGAGGACCGGAGGGAGAGGGTGACGAGCATAAGTTTCACTTTCCTTTTTTATTTCAATTCCAACTTTGGTCATGAAGAATATGTTTCTCTGTTGTCCCCGTTCATAAAGCATACAACAACAGCATCAGAGCACGGTGCAGAGTCTCTAGATGAGTTTACAGTAGTCCCTCGTTCTTATTAAACATCCATGTTGTAGTCCGCTGTATAGAGTGGCGAAGTCACGCCCATCTACTTCCGCCCCATGGGACCTTATTTCGGAAAAATAATGTATTGAAGTCAATGGAGAGAGAAAACTTATCTTTCGATCCCGTTTGAATTGTGCCATGAATTACACATATGATGTTTGTCAATCTTAAAAAATCATTTCCATGTCAAAAAAGTCACAGTTTGTCGTAAAACTGTTGAAATTTAAGACTATGAAAAATACGCAACTAGAAAGACTACAAATCCCAGAGTAAGTGATGTCACAATTGTTTTCCTCCACTAATGCGGCTTTCACACCAGCGCTTTTCCCTTTCTAGCCAAGCCCCCAGGAAGTGCGCCGGACTCAGATGAAAATATTTGTGCTGGCCAAACGGCGGTACTACACTTCCTTTTGGTTGCCAGGCCCGGAAACACTTTTTCCCATTGACTTACATGGGGAAAGAGTGGTCTGTAAATCGTTGGATAATTTTTTTTAAACTAAATAAACTACCCAGTATGAACACTTGTATAGCCCTTATTAAAAACATTCGTTCCTCAAGTTGTAAAAATGTGCTAATAACGTTATTCTGTGAGTTATTTCCCTCTGCATTATGAACGCGCATCTAACCCACGGGACCGCGCCGCCCGGCACGTTCATGTTACGTGTTCAGCACTACATGCGTTTATCTTTACCCATGGATGCACAATAACGGACCCATATCGCCTTACTGCCAGCCCACGGAGCTGTAATAATGGATATATTGCACATGTTTGCTGTAATTCATCATTTGTAAAATATTATACTACATGGGCTGTATGATTAAATCTTGTACCGTAAATGTTGTATTAAATAAAGTTAATATTACCGACGTAGATTAACGTCCCTGTAGCTTCTTATTGCACTAAGAAGCTTATTGCACTGTGTATATATATATACATATATATATATATATATACAGTGCAATAATTCTTTCATGCTAAATGAAGCTCTGTTGCTTGGATATCACTAGATCCTGTTACAGCGTAATATAAAAGGTGTAGGTGCCATAATGCTACTTAGCCCAAGTTCATTATTTGTATTATTATTTGTTTACATCACTTTTATTTGTTTGTTGAGTACTTCCGGTAATTGTCACATGGGTGTGGTTTGTGTATTTAAGTCACCTGTTTCATGTCGAGTGCGGATGACAGAGGGTGAGCTTGTGCTGTCATTTTTTCTGTTGACCGTTTTGTCCATGTTATGATTTTGTTTATTAAATATCCCAAAAACTATCTTGCTTCACTATGGACTTTCTCTTCGAAAACGCGTCACAGTTTATAGCCAAGTTTAGCCTCTCGGCGACTCAAACGCAACTGGGGATTGAGCCGCCACATTAAGTCAACAGAAAAAACGGTGATTCGCATCAGAGACTGAACTGGACGGACCGGCCGGCTTCCTAAGCTTACGGATCGCTTGGACGCTTCGGATAACGGACTTAACATTCTGTACCTTTGGAACCTTCGGACCGTTTTTCCCAAATCGATATGGATTGGAGTAGCCACGAGGACTCACTGATGGACACTCATTGACTGCAGCGCACAACAAGCTGAAAGCGGTAGGCACGATTATATCCTTTCTTGTGTATTTTTGCTGGACACAGTTTGGGAAGCGTGACCGTTTGTCCATTGGGGACTTTGGCTTTTGTTGTGCGCTTGTTGTGCCGTTAGCGGCGGTTGTGTGTGCTTGTTATGCCGTGAGCGGCGGAAGTTTTCGAATTGTTTGTTTTGCTGTGGCGGGCGGGCCCCGCTGGTTTAAGTTTCATACCAGTGAACACTGTCGTGTTACTTTAAATGCTAAGGCACCACACATATTGCATCTGTTAGCGATGCCATGATCTTAGGGCAGGAATACCGTGAACATAGTTTAACGTGACAGAGGAATAAATACACACGTATACCATCAGCTGTGCTTCAATCGGAAGTGACACGTTTTATTGCGCATGTCCCTTTTATCACGGGAATACAGGAAGTGATTAGTATAAGAGTACTAAATAAACAGAATTCATATATTACATTTCATAATTCAACACCCCCACTTACTCTTATACTGCACAATTTCTCAACATGAATTCAAATGTAAACACCTTATACACCTGCACAATAACACAGTGTTTGAAACTTCTGGGGTTATTTACATTCCAAACAAATACTTTACAAATTTCTCACTTTTGACCTTTGTTGCAGGCTTAGTGAAAATATCAGCAACCATATCAGCTGTAGGGCAATAGTCAATGGTTATCATGTTATCACTCAGTACAGTTCGAACAAAATGATACTTGACATCCACATGTTTACATCGTTGACGACATACTGGGTTCTTGGATAGAGCAATTGCACCCTGGTTATCTTCAAAGATTTTCACAGGAGTATATTGACCCTCACTATCCATGCTCTCTATTAGCTGCACAAGATACAAACTCTCTTGTGCTGTGGCAGCCAGTGCCATGTACTCTGCCTCACATGTCGACAAAGCTACTGTTTGCTGTTTCTTTGATCTCCAAGAAATAACAGGCCCATTGCTAGTTAGACTAAAACAGTACCCTGTTATACTCCGTCTGTCATTTTGGTCTGTTGCCCAATCCGCATCACAGTATGCAACAAGTTTCAGTTTTTCATCTTGTTGTTTAAAACATAGCTCCTGATTAATTGTGCCCTTTAAGTACCTCAATACATGTTTAGCAGTTAACCAGTGTTGTTCTTTTGGCTCTGAAAAATGCTGTGACAGTTTACGGACTATCCAACTTAGATCAGGCCGTGTAGATGTCATTAAATATATTAAGCTGCCTACCACTTCACGATATTGTGTTGCATCAACAGCTTCACCATCATCATCAAAGTTGTGTTTCTGTTCACATGGGGTGGACCTTGGCTTACAGTCATTCATACCAAACTTTTCCAGTATTTTTGTAATGAATTTCTTTTGACCCATCTTTATTTCTCCTTTTTCCTGAGTAAAGTCAATGCCTAGGAAATGTTTAAGTTTCCCAAGATCCTTCATTTTGAATTTTGTGCTCAACATTTCTTTCACAGTATTAATTGTGTGAATATCATTAGCTGCGATAACTAAGTCATCCACCCAAATAATCAGAATGATCCTCTCATTTTCTATTCCTTTACTGTAGACACAGTGATCAGCTGGGTTTTGTGCAAAACCGTTCTCACAGAGATGATCATGCAACATTTTATTCCAGTTTCTTCCAGATTGTTTTAACCCATACAGTGATTTATTCAGCTTGCAGACTAGCTTTTCATCTGTGTCTGACTTGACCTCAAAACCTTCAGGTTGCTGTACATAGAGCTCACAATCAATTGGAGCGTGTAAATACGCAGTTTTAACATCCATCTGATGTAGGTGTAAGTCATGTTGAGCTGCCAATTGCATCAAGCTTCGTACTGATGTCATGTTTGCAGTCGGGGAAAATGTCTCCTTATAGTCTATTCCTGCCACTTGACTATATCCCTTTGCAACATATCTGGCTTTATATATCTCAGTCTTTTCTGTGTTTTCTTTGATTGTATAGACCCATCTACCCCCCACTGCATTTTTGCCCTCTGGTAGTGTGGTCAATGTGAATGTGTCATTTTCCTTAAGAGAATTCATTTCCTCCTGCATAGCATCAGTCCAGAGTTTTGACTCTGCTGAATTCATGGCCTCTTTAAAGGTGTTTGGTACATTACACATTACTCTGTAGCAGTAGTCAATATTTACATACTTCTGGTCGTCACACTGTACTTTACATTCATAGTCCTCTAAATACTGAGGTCTCCTCCTTTCTCTTTGGGGATAGCTTCTATTTTGACCTTCTGCTCCCTTTCCTGTCTGAGAGTTTGTGTCATCTGTCTCAGTTCGAGCCTCCTGTGTCTCTTTTGGACACGAGTCAGTCCCCTGGGTTTCTGGCTTGATGGATACAAACCTTTTCTCATAAAAATCGTCATCACTTGCCTCAAAATCAGTCTGTATGTCGCTCGACTATACTTTTTGTGACAAACTTCACTTGCCT